GAAAGAAATATTCCATCCACTTGCTCACTCTCCAGACGACTGCAATGGCCAGGTATGTGGGAGTCAGGAGCTTCGTCCAGCTGGTCACCCGTGTGGATGACAGGCCTCCATCTTGTGTTGCTTTTCACAGGCCATTAGCAGGGTGCTGGCTTATAAGTGGGGCAGCCGGGCCACGAGCCAGGGCCTGTGTCGAATGCTGGCATTGCAGGTGGTAACTGCACTCTCAGCAGTGTAGCTCCAGCTCCAGCATCATCAGGTTTTAAAAAACTGAGAAATAATGGAGGAAGGACTTCATATTTTATTGGAATGGAAGAATGAGTATGTTGGCTGAGAAAATGTTAGAGTAGCAAATCAGCCCATTTGTTGACTGTCTTTTAGGGATGAGATTTTAGGGCTTTGTCAATTTTGGCATATTTACGTCGTGTTCATTTGCTCATGTCCGTTGGGCTTATTGACAGTGGAAAGCAATTGAGGCGTATTCTTCTATTTATGGACGTAGGAATGTGTGTTTTCCCGAAAGGAGGCAGCTAACTTTGAGATAGGTGTTCACAATGCAGTGGTTGCAGATGTTTAAGTACAGATTGTGTCTATTCAGAAACCACTTGAGTCTCATTGCTCAACATCAGGAAGTCTTCCCTGCACAGAGATGTCTTCCAGTCTGTCCAAAGTCACATTCCCATGGTGGACACAAGCTGCCAGCCTGGGGAATGTCCCACCAGGCCACAGTCAGTGCAGAGGAATGTGAGTGGGCACCAGGGCAGCTGTCAGAGTAAGAATTCCCCAGGGTGAGGTACTGGCAGAATGACGTGTGGAGGGAGGGAGCATCGAAGTCGGGGGTCATACACATCCCCAGAAGACACATGAGGACCAGGCTGCTGGGATAGAATGTCCAGCAGCAGGCACAGTATGCCAGCAACTAGAGGAGTCCCTAAGGGAGAGAGGATGTGAGTCAGGAATGGCGTGAGGGCAGGGCAGGCAAGCTCAGGCTGCGTTGGAGGAATGAACCCGGGTAACACACCACGGCAGAGTGGAATGACGTCTGGTCACAGCAACCTAACGTACAAAAGAAAGGAGCTCCATGTCTCCAGCCACAGTAATATCCAGAAAGGGGAGGTGGTGATTAACCTGAGCCATCTGCACACATTGTCCACATCTAGTGAAATGTCCCACTATAGTCCCAAACTACTGCCACTGCTCCTGATTTTACAAGAGGACATACTGTATCAGGTCATCAGAGCCAAGGAAATGCTTTTAAATTTCCTGCCAGTTATTATGGCAAGCTTAGGAAGGTGAAATGAAACGGGATGAAATAATCTCTTTTTCTCTGTATGTTTTTATTTTTTAGAATTCTAAATGGGTTTTAACAGATTTACCATGGCTTGTAGCTGTAAGAACATAATGATTATACAGTGCAAGATTGGTTCCTGCTGTCCTGTGGAGAGAGAGATTGAAGGGCAAGAAGTTAGGAAGTGACCTGTCATTGAGGAATAATCACTTAGGCCAGTGCCTGGGAGACTATTTGCTGCTTCTTCCTCTCCACCTGAGAGCTAAGGATGGCTTAACACAGTTTTGTGCATACACAATATTCTCACTGTTGCCTTTTAGCTAACAAAGCTTCAAGCATTTATTATCTATCCTTTTTTTGAGAAAAACTTACCAGTCCCCGGCTTAAGCAGAAGAGCTAAGCCTCAGGCTGCTACACTCACATCATCTATTATTTCTCTAAGCAAATTTTTCTTCTGCAGAGGATAGGGGGAGAAATGATGATTGGCAGATGGAAGGAAAGGCTGAACACGGGAAGATAAAAGTGACTGGATTCAGCATGCATTCCAAAGGCTAAATGAACGAGAGGGGCAAGAAGGACTCTGGAAATTTGCATCCAAACCTCTGAGGGTGATGGTATTGCCCAGCATTGAAATGGGAGTGATGCATGGGAAGGAACCAGGTAATGCAGTGGGCATGAGTTGAGAGTGTATCATTTTGGACATGTTGCCAGGCACCCAGACAGAGATGAGCAATGAAAACTGGGAGGGTGATATGAATTGTGCATCCTGTGGAACCTACGGAGAGGACTAAGGTGTGGAGAATGTTGCTGGTGGAGTTTGCCCACAAGTGAGACCAGTAGGCCTAGCAAGGACAGTAACAGCCTTTGACAGCAAAGCTTCAGTCTGCTTAAAGCCCTCGGTAAAAGGCCTGCCAGTCAAAGCACGCACCTGGGTGATCTTCAGGACCACTCCAGAAACATCAGTGATGAGGGACCTGCTGCTGGGCTCTGCCATCCATTAGGCATTTGTGCCAATGCCATGTTTGTCCAGGGGACTCCCTTGGGTGGGTGAGCACAGCAAGGTTTCAGAGACAGGGCCACTCTACTGAAAGAATTGCACAGCATTCAGGAAGCTTCTGCCCACCTCAATGCTTCCGTCCTTCCTTAGGGTCTGACTTGCGTCCTGGCGTGATAGCTCTGTCCTCTTAGGCCTTCTTTTGCTCGTCGCCATGGTTTCTCACACAGGTACTTCTGTAATTGCATCCTTGCGTACTTAGTGCCATATGAACATTGATTCGGGCTTCCACACACAACACAGCACGTAGAACTCATGATGTCATCACTTCCCACTGACAGCCATGCAAACCACTCTCTGTAAAAGGGCCTTCATGGGCCCATGCTCAGAGCAGAAGACTGAAGTTTACTTGGGATAACTTTCATATAGCAGGCTGGGTTTGGGAAGTGTGCTGTTACCAGGTAAAGGTACTGCATGAGGACTTAAACCTTAGAATTGCTGTTTGAAATGCCTGTGTCCACCCACACCTTCTGGCCACTGTACTCAAGATGGGGCAGTTTTATTCTGGATGTTCACGGTCCCTGGACATTGTAATGACTGAGATCTGGGAGCTAAGGACGCAGAGTGCACAGAATAATCCCAAACTGAAGGATTGTCCAGTGTTCAATGCCCCAATGCACCAGTTGGATTTCATAGCACAGGAAAAGTGGGAGACCCCTAGGAATTTAAATCAATAATGAAGGCAATAGGATAATCTTATAAAAAGGAACGTGAGATGAACAAGCCCATTTTCCATTTTTTCATAAGGCAATGGTCCAGCCAACTTTAATACATTTTAAATGCCTACTGTGTGAAAGGAAAGAAGTCTCAAAATCTGTAAGGTAGGAAAAAAAAATGTTCTGGGAGGCAGAGATAAGGTTATAAATGGACTGACCTCTGGGGAGAGAGTGCCATTTGAGCTGTGTGTGTCATGGGGGCGGCACGTAACCCAACTGCTTGAGCTGTCACTTGCTGTTCCCCACAGTGCAAACAGCAGGAAGCTGAGGTCAGGAGTTAGAACTAAAACCAAGACTTGAATCCATACACATCCCACGTGCCCACCCAGGTTCTTGCTATGTCACCACTTTCTTCTGTCTTGGTGACACACAACTTTTGTGTCTGAGTTCATGATTTTATTAAAATCGGCAAACTGTCAGAAAGAAGCAAAGCACTCCTTGTTTGTATGTGTATGTTGGGTTGTTTTTCTTACATGGGAATAACATGTGTGTGGTTTGGATGGTGGGCAGGATGAGTTACTGCGTGTAACTACCATTTGGGATAGCTGTACTCCATACTGAGTGCTGGCTTGAGTTCTGCCTGCTCTGTTTTCCATCCAGCTCCCTGCCACTAAGCCTGGACTCAGTGCTGTGTTGGGATCTTAGATGAAGTTTCTGCCTCAGGCTTCGGCCTGACCCAGTCATAGCTGGATGACCACTGTGAAGTGAAGATTCTCTCTATCTCTTCTTTGTCACTCTAACTTTCAAACAAATCATTGAAAATCTTAAAAAATATTCTGTTGCATGGGATGTGACCTGGGGCTGAAGCGTGGATACACAAACATACTGATTCAGTTGCTTTGTTATGACCCGAACAAATGCTTGCACCTCACACACAGTGCAGATATCAATTTTCTCCATTTCCATTTGTAGGTATTAATAAGCTGACAGCAAACTCCTATTTAATTTCTCGCTTTTGCAGCTATACATATATTATAATGATTACCTCAATGATTTTTAATAGGAAAAGCTGTTTCACCAAAATACTGTTTTCTACTGAAGACAGTCTCCTGGAGAGTTTCCAGATTCTGGAGCAGTAGACGGTGGCCTCGGCATTTTCAGCACTGTGTAGGATTTCCCTGGAAGAGAGAACTTCAAAATCATTCATAGAGACATGGAACAGGACTTCCCTGGAGAATCTAGAGTCACTTGACAAAATCAGTATCGGGCTGCGAGGGAAATACTCTGGCCCTCTCTCCCTGATGCTCTCCTCCCATTCACCCGTTCCTGTGCGTTTTATTAAATAAGGTGGAGTTACATCCCTGTGGACAAGTTGCTGTTTAGCCAGTGCAGTTGGGGCGTATGTCATCTCTTTTCAGACTTCCTTCCCTACCCATTGTGGAGACGAGCACAAATGATGGGGAGTTTTCTGAACAGAGTTCTGCAGTCAGTTGTTGGTTTATTTCAACTGACTGCACTGAAGGTGCCAGTATTGATCACAGGGGTTGGGTTGCTGGGCGCCCGATCCTGTAGCACACCTCCCTGAGCAGTTGATACCGAGTTACAGTTCACAAGGAGGAAGCAGTTGCATGAGCAGATCAAGTACATTGTTCAACTGCTAGGCGGCAGAACTCAGTTCCAACCCAAGGTGAACTTGTTCATGACTGAGGAAACTGCAACAAGGCTGTGCTTAGTCTACTGTATACCTCTCATTAAATAGTGACTTTAAGAAATAACGGCAAAACCATGCATCCCACCGTATGGCCTGAAGGCCCTGGCACGCAGTGGTATCCCCCTACATGGTTCAGAACTTAAGGGAGAAAGTTAGGGTTATCCTTTGGGCTCAAGGATCTTCAGTTGTAAAACGGAATGAACTGTATTGTAGAATCTCTGTAATTCTTTCTCACTAGTTCATATCCATTCTAAAGGAAAATGTTTGAATGTTTCTCCTTCATGTCTGTTGCAGGTACACTGTGAGTACACGGAACCCTGTCATGTTGCAGCACAGCAGTGTGAAGTTGGACCAGGAGTTAATGTGGTAGGTGGGACATGCCTGCTCACAAATATAGAAATGTCATGGATATCTGCTCCTCCGGGTCTCATAAGATTGAGGAGATTCCAAAAGGGTAACTGTGACTTATTGGGGGTGAGCATCATACTTAGAGCTCATACAAACGTTCTCTTTCCTGAAATGTCTGAGATGAGTCTCTGGACAGGAACAAGGACAGTTGCAGGGAAAGGTCCTCGCTGTGCTAAGCACTTCTCCCATGTCACAGGGCACCCATGTGGAATGTTTGAGTAAAGAGAATTCTCCCATCCAATCTAATTGGATAAAGCACGAGCTGTCGTTTAACACTGGAAGTTGGTTTGAGTTTTCACACAGCAAAGCTTTTTAATTTGGTAAAAGAATGACCCAGCAAAGCAATGGAGACCATAGAAAGATTGGTAGTCATCAGGTCGCAGGGAAAAGGAAGGGAGATGTGACTGGAGCGTGGAGGGGGAGATGTAGAGGCTAAGACTGTCAAGAGGCTCTGTGGAATGTTAAAAGAAAGGTTTCGCACTATTTTACATGCATCCAGACCTGTGATATGTCCAGCGTCGAGGAGGCAGCCAAGGTAAGCCAAGCAATATGACTGATAGTGGATGGGCCGAATGTAACAAGGGAGCCATCGCCGTGGGAGAAGGTGGTAACAGGGGACTTTGTGTGAAGGCAATCAGCTCTCAAGAGTTTCTGTGAATCTAAAGCTGGTCTAACATTAGTCTATTTCAAAAGTGTCGCCTCATGTTCAACCTTATTTGGTCACATGCTAACTACACTGCTTGTATAAAGGCATAATCTATATCTCATTTTGTCACAAACAGAACTGAGGCTCCAGTGTGAGAATGTTCTTACAAATACAACAGGGTATTGTCTCCATAGGATGGCAAATACTCGTTTCTTCTTACTCCCCTCTTCCCCCATTTTCTACAGTATAGCCCTTCAGTAACAGGCGCAAGTCCAGCATTCTGCTCTCTGAGTGTGTCAAGGCAGTTGTAGGAAAGCCAATGTGATATTGTCAAGGCATAGGTACCAGTTTCACTGGAACTCCTCTTTTTATCCAGAAACAGAGATGCGTACTGCAATGCATCTTGACTTTCCGGTACGCTAGGCTGTGGAGAAGGGTGTGTTTGAAGCCGGCTATGTGGGCTTGGGGGTTTCTGAGTCTCAGGCATTGCATGGGGTTCCAATATGACCATTTTAGCATGCAAAAAATTGTCCTAAAAGTCAAAACTTTATAAAAAAAATCCTGAATTTTAATGTAGTTTTTGGGGGGTTTATTGAACATGTTCAAAGTCATATACAACTATTTGAAAGAGAAATTTTGCGGAAAATTCTTCTCTGGTTGGCTTTGTCAAAAGTTGTTCTCTGCAGAGGGGGTGTTCATTAGATAACAGGGGCTGCTCCAAGACTTCATCAGCCTACAAATACGGCTAATTAAAAAGAAAGGGAAGCTCGAAACTTGCTATTTCTTTTCATCTTCAATACCAGTGACATCAAAAAAAGTCATTCAGAATGCTCATAAAAATTGCTTCCCATGTTTCTTAGGACTAAAAGCAGTTTTTCAGAAATGGGATTAATCCTCCTTCCCTGACAGTTTTGCCAGAAGTTAGAGATAAAAAAGTAAACCATTCTGATTATGCGCCCTGCCTGAAAGAGCAGTGAAAGCGAGATCCGAGTCCAAAATTATTCATTTCTGCCTCAAATCTCTCTTCAAACCATTCTCGTGGCTGTGATGTGTAAGAAATAGCTGGGGAATTTTTATCTCCACCCCCTCAAGTTACACAGATCATATGCTCCTGCTTTTCACAAATAGGAAAAAGGAAAGCTGTCCGCCATGCGCTGTGCAGGGTGGGTGGGTGTGAGATCTGCTATTTCCATGGCAGATCAGAAGCCCATGTCACGATGGCTTCCCACACAGCAATATGGAAAACCGTAGCCACAGCAGGATTCCCAGTTGGCAGGATAGGCCGTGGTGCCCATTAAATTCACTGCTATTGGGGGAATTATGCTTGGGATCACTGGCAGAAGTCTCTCAGCGTTTGAGGAGGAAATGAGAAATTCCCAGGATGGGGTGATGTGCTTCTAAGACTTTCAGATGTACAGTGTGCTACAAGAATTAAGTGTTCTTGCTATTGTGGTCCTCGTCTTTGTGGCTGCACGATTGTAGCTGCATCGTGTTTGTCAGAGAGCAGTTTGGTGAACGGGAATGAGTTGAAATGAAGTATTGCAAGGTAGCCTCGAGAGGAGTTGGGATAGAAGTGATGCTTTCCAACTGACTGGCGTTCTAGGCAGACCCTGCGTGGCTGTGAGTGTGCCACCGCTCTGCATCCCGCCGCAGTCCTTGGCCATCTCCAAGTTGTGCCATGAGGTCACTGACACTCGGTCCTTGTACTGATAACGTTGTGTGCACATTTCTTCTCTCCGTTTTCTACTGCGTTAGGAGAACAAGAGGACCCACCATGTGCCCTGCTCTGCTTGCCCCAGTGGCTGCCTCCCTCGGGAAGGTGGCAGGTTGCTCTGAGCCCGCCAGCTCACCTGCTGTCCCAGTGGAAACCACTGGGATCTTGCAGAGCTCTCTCATACCCAACCGTCTCTAATGAAATTGCTAGAAATCTATGATCACTGTCGTTTGGAAATGTTCCCTTCCTCACTCTAAAAATATTCTGCTACTAACTCATGTTCTAAAACCGGTGCCACAGTATTGATCTGCCTCTCTCAAGCTGTGTGGTTCTAGAATCTTTGGCTTCTACATGGCAGGAAGCCCAGTTCCATTGACTATCGAGGGGTTGTGTGGCCTTGGATTCACACACAGCTGACCCCAGGGAGCTGGGGAATTTGTGGATTCTGTCTCTCCCTCTCTCTGTCTCTTTCCTGTCATGTACTGTGACTGCTCAGATACTGGCTTCCTTTCCTTATCATGATAACACCCAACAAGTCTTCAATGTAATGTCCTTTCTGACTTATTCCAACAGGTTTTTTGAATATATGTTTCATTTGATCTTTTTGATTTTCTTTTTGGTCAATTAAGAGATTTTATTTTGGGATTACTTTTAGGTGTATATAAAAATTGAGCAGAAAATACAGAGTTCCCAAATACTCCTCACTCCATACTCAGAGCTCCTCATTAGCATCTTGTATTAATGTGATGCATTTATCATGATTGATAATCGATATTGATATATTATTGCTAGTTAAGGTGTATAATTTGAACTAATATGGAATTTGAGAAATACATAATGCCTAGTATAATTGTATTTCAGTGTTACGTAGAATCTCATCATTGATGTGAAAATCCCAACTCCATTCGTTCCACCTTTCTCACCCTTCTATTACACACATGGCATGCAGAAATCCTGTTAAGGTAACCTTGGCTTTGCTGTTTCCAGAATGTCACATTATCAAAAAGCATACAGTCGTTTAAATAGCCATTCAGAGGGGCAGTTTGCATTTAAAGTTCCTTTTTTCATGCTTGCAGCTTCCTATGTCTCCATTTTGAGGATATTGTACCACTCGTTTGTTCATTCCTCTGTTGAAACATGCCTCGCTTGTTTCCAAGGTTTGGTAATCGTGAGTAAGGTTACTGTAGACATTAGCAGGCAGGCTTTGAAGATTTAGGTTTTTCCATTATTGGGTTAGTTACTAAAGAGGCTAATTGCCAGGTTGAATGATAAGACCATGGTGGCTGCATTCAGAACTGAGAACAGTCTTAAGAATTATTCTCGGAATTCCCATTCCTGCCACGTGGAACAATCCTCTCTTTGTCCCACCTCCTGGCCACTCTTGTTTCTTTGTCCCACTTTCTTTGTCCCACCTCCTGGCCACTTTGTTGCTGACCTGGAGAGGCTCATTTGCTCTAATGCGTATAGAGTGTGTGACATCTCATCGCAACTTTCACTTTCAAGACCCTAATGGATTTAATCCTGTTTAGTGTGGATACCTTGAGCTGGTATCTGGACCTGCATCCTAAGATGTGACTTAATAATGATGCAGATTAAGAAATGAAAAGTCGTTTGCCATTATTCAGTAAAGGAATTAGGTGTCATGTGGGTAAAAAGTGAGTCAGTCACAGAAGAAATGAAACATGAACTCGTGAGAGACACTATTGGCATGCTGAGGTCACTGTCAGCTGAAGAGTAGTGTGCGGGAGACCTCAGGGTTGCCATTAAATGTAGAATTTTTAAAATAACTCATTCTCTTTTTTTTTTTAAACTGTTACTTAGAGAGGGAGCTGGAGCCTTCCTTTATAGTTTTGCTTCCCAGATGGCTGCACTGGCCATTCCTGAGCCAGTCTGAAACGAGCTAAGCACTCGGACTATCGAGCACTGCTTTCCCCAGGCCATCAGTATGGATCTGGACTGGAAGTGGAGCAGCCAGGACACAACCTTGTCTCCATATGGGGTGCCGACCATGCCAACACTGGCTTCAATGGATTGATATTAAACTTAATATCTATTTTGTATGTTTTTAATTCATGGAAAATGGGTGTCATGAAAAAAAAAGATACATGACTTTCTAAAAAAAATTGCACCAAAGTAAATGGATCTTTTAATTCCCATTCCTATGAACTGTGAGAAGTATACTGTATTTTTAGGATCACAGAAACAGGTGAAGCACAAATGCAGTGGAGACAGGGTTAGGGGGGAGTGGGGGTACTGAGTTCAGTGTTTGTACTTCCCCAAATTATGGAGATAAACTACATTTATTATCAGTATAAATTCCGCACTGTCCATTTTGATTCATAAGTCCGTGTAGCTCCTCCTGTGTGAAACATGCCACATAGTAGAAATGAAACAAACAATTCAGTTTGAATTTGCAATTTAAATGAAGCTATTATTCAACATAATTACTAGTCTGAATGGTTCAAAGTTTCTCTAAATCAGAACTCGGGAGATTGTTTATTCTACAAGATGGTTCATTGCACAATTATGAATAATCAGCAGTGACTCTGAGTTGATGATCACAGTGTATGTTTGAGATGGGAACGTATTTTTGTCA